TTCTTTTGTTTCCTAATTAATAAAACTAAAATTCTAAGTTAAATTATAAACCAAATTAGCTTAACATACTAATTAATTCCTAATAACAATTATCACACCAATTAAATACCAATTAAAATAAAATCACACAATTGGACGTTAAATGCTAAAAATGCAAAGTACATATTTTTGTGATTTTCATTCTCGTAAAACCAAATATTGTTTAATTAATTCCTAAATTGTAAAGTTAAATCCCAAATGCACAGGCAACATATTTTTTGTATTTTTCCTTAATTAAAATAAAAATAAACATGCACAGACAAATACAAATAAATCACAAACAACACAAAACTATTTTATTTTGAATTTTTGGGAGTAGTTCTTGTAGGGCAAAAATCACGTGCTCACAACTATTATGGGTAAATGTGCCAAAAGGGTCATCATGAGATAAACATAATAAAATATAAGTTAACACTAGACATATGATGACCTAACATGACATAGAAACTTATATATGTGACATATGTGCCTATAAGACCAAAGTGATCACTCATACACTGAACATAGGCCGACAATGCCATACAATTTTCACATACATGACATCTGTCTACAAGTCTCTAAGAGTACATAAACATCATAAAGGTCGGGACAGGGCCCCGCCATACCAATTAATACATGTCTAAATCATACTAACCAAATAGGCAACTCCGGAGCAAGTGGAGTGCACCAACACCTTTCGCTGAGCTGATAGCCTACTAGGAGGAATGTAAACCTGTCTATCGGGACCTGTGGGCATGAACATAGCATCCCCAGGCAAAAGGGACGTCAGTACGAATAAAGTACTGAGTGTGTAAGGCAGGAAAGCATAAACAAGAACAGTAATGTAAAGAGAGATAGAGGAAATACAACCTGTAACATATGAGTGCCTCTGGGGGCTACTAACATGAAATGCATAATACATATATATACATAAACTTTTAAAAACATACGCCTCTGTGGGCATCATTATCATCACATCGTACCCGGCCTCAAAGAGGACTCGGTAAAAACATACCCGGCCATTATAAGGCTTGGTAGAATCGTACCCGGCCACGTGGAGCTCAATAAACCCAACTGATCAGTGGTTGCACAATAGGTACCGTACCCGGCCAACTATAGCGCGGCTCGGTATAGTAAAATATATATATATATATATATATATATAATGCATTCTCGACACATGGAATCACGTTCTAAACCTTTCGGAGTGACATAAGGTCGTTGCACCTTCGATTAACATTATGGACATCCATACCTTCAAAATGAACCTTGGTAAGATTCAAGGATCATACACACTTGTTTAGAATAACTTTATAAGGAAAGAACAACATGGACAACCTTAGTTTCTAGGAGTAGATCAGTTATGAATTAGCGTACCGTTTATGTTCATTTCACTTTAGATCAGCCAATAGAAAGAAGTAAGTTCCTTAACATACCTTAACCACGTTGAGTCCATAATACCTCCCAAGCAACTCCACGTTGAGTCCATAATACCTCCCAAGCAACTCTTCAACCAACTCAACTCAATCTACCATTGCATAAGGAGATTCAAAATCAGTATTGAATAAAGGCTAAGTCTGCAACTTAAACTTGTAGCTCGTTCATATAAATTCGGGCAGCATCTCCCCTGTAACAAGAGTCTCCTTCAATACCATATACCAAAACAAATTACCAGAGAAATCCAGCAATACATAATTATGAACAACAAGACACCATAAAACAACAATAAGTCATAACTATTTTACGACGAGCGACAAGCTCCAATTGAAATTCGTATACCCCATATCACCCCTTATAGACTTTTTACTTTAACTTAATAGTATCATTAACATGATAATAAAGTCATTCATCAATAATTCCAGCCTTATACCATATATCCATAACACAGAAAACGATCCACAATTCCAATTATTCTTAATTAGCAACTTTATTCACTAGTTCATATCTAGTTCATCCATTTAACTTAACCAATGCCAAGATAACCTTAAGCGCCTGTAGGAACACAATATAATTATCTCCTACAGTGTATGCAAGCCAAAATCCATGTTATATTTAGCTTGCAACATCCCAAAACACCCCAATCAATTCATACCAAAAACGACGACTATAGTAGTGTCAAACACCCCAAAAATATTACAAAGAATGACTAATCCATCATTTCGCCATTATGTGGTGTTTATCCACACCATTTATCCTCCAAAAACTCCATTAAATAGAAGCAAAATATATAGATCAAAAGCTACACGAAACAGCCCACAAGACAGTCCATTACAAATCAAATAACTCGAACTCACGGCTTCCGATCACCGTCCCGTGAGTTCTAACTATTATGAAATGAATTAATCAACCTTAATTGACATTTAATAGCTTGAAACCAGAAATTAGTCATTTTTATTAACTTCAAAATACCTTCCAAAACTCAAACTACAAAGAAAAAGAGAGGCTATATAGCGATACTTACGTCGTGGGGATCGTTCTAGTGTTATTGCTTCGTGATTTCGTGCCATAGATGATAATCTTGTTGGATATCCTTGTGGATAGCTTGAGGGTGAGGTTAGGAGTGATATTTGGTCTAGGTCTCTGGAATAATGGAGAAGGAGACGAGTTTGGGATGTAAATATCCCGTTTTTCCAAAAGTCAAAAAGGTGCCACTTGGCACCCTCACATAGGTCCTCCTTCAGGCACTTCTATCTTTTTATCCGGATGTCATATGAACAAACGGTTTAGAGCGTTGGAAACTAAATTCCAAGACCTTAAATTTGGTATATAATATTTCCCAAAAAGACCTCATATAATATACAAAATTTATTGCTCAAAAAGCTCCATTACAAGGCAAATCCTTAGTCGGTTTTTCCACAACTTAAATCCGATTTTTCTCAAACTTTATACTTCATATCCAAACATCATATATAGTCATATCATGGCTTTAAACTCATTTAAATCATGATTAACAAGTCTCACATTCATCTTAACTTACTTAACACTTCGGCAAACCTTTCTTATCCTTGTAGAAGAATTTCATCCTTTTTGAGCTTACATTAGATAATCCTATAATGATAGTGACGTCTGAAGTACGGGGTGTAACAACATGTACCCTTATAGACATTTGTCCTTAAATATTAACTCTTAAAGGCTTGCAAAAAATGGGACGTAACGCCAAATATACGTTCAAAGAGGATCTCATTTCTAAGCTTACATCAATTGACTTACGACGTAATTTCACGTACAAAAACATGGGTTGTAACATTATACAACTTATCTACAATTTTTATACATTATTTTTACCTAGTTAAATATAACTACAATATCATACGACTTAAATATAATTTTTATACAAATTTTATACAATATGTCTTTGTATATATTTTGTATCTGATTTGTATATATTTTGTATCTGATTTGTGATTCTTCCTCTCTAAAATTCTAATCAAACTTACTCTCTTAATACAATTTTGATACATATCAATAACTCTATATAAAAAGATTGTATTGATAACTTAAATGCAAATTTTATACAACGATCCATACATTATACAACTATTGTTTTACTTTCATACAACATTCAAATAAAAAAAAATATATAACTATAGCAGAATACAATTTACATACATTTATACTACAATTTTTCTACAACTTCGTAAGTACATGATATGTCATGTGTTCTTCTTCTTCTTCTTCGAGTTTCAATTTGAAATTCAGTCAAATCAAGTCTTATCTTCATCAAAACACCCTCAAAATTGAGATATAAACTCCAAACAATATTCTTGATTGTTTGTAAAAACACCCAATCAAACAAATAACGGTTTTCGAAAACCCAAATTTGATTTCAAAGCTTCAAAGCTTTTTAATGGATGTCAATGGTGGAGAGTCAAAATTTATTGATTGACAATTTCAATTTGAACACTAATTGTGCAACATGAAAGGAAATTAAGTTAAAATGATTGAAATCCATTGATGAATTTCATTAAAACTCTATACAATAAGAAATCATAAAAAACAAAGAACATCAAATGAAGAAAATTGAGAAAAATAACAGAGAAAGAGAGGAGAGAGACGATGTCACGACCCAAAACCTAGACCCGGTCGTGATGACGCCTCTCGTGAAGACAAGGTTAGCTGACACAACACCCAATTCATTTTAAACAATTAAAATAACACAATTTAAGTCATTAACATGATTAAATCCCAAAAGAAATAGTGAAACAATACAATTTGCGGAACAAACACAGCCCGACATCGGGGTGTCACCAGTCATGAGCCTCTAACATAAGTCTATAAGTCTGAAAGGGTTTATACAGTCTATTACAGAACTAGAAATAGAAAGTAAGATAGGAAGGAGAAACATTGGGCTGTGAACACCGAGCAGCTACCTAGTGGACTCCAAATAGCCTACTGGGAGCGATCAACCCTCACTGACAGGACCTGAAGCTCTTGAATCCACACACAGGGTGCAGAGAGTAAAGTGATTACTCCAACTCAGTGAGTAATAACAATAAATGAAGACTGGGCGATAAGAAATCACGTAAAAACACAACAACATGCTATAAAGAGGCAGTGTAAAACCAATAAAATGCAATAAAATAGTGAAATCTTATAAAAACACCTTAGTTCAGAATAATCTTCTTTAAAATACCTTTTTGAAAGTTAAACAAGTAAAATGAAAGGCAGCTAGAAAAGATAAACACATAAAATCCGTCCCTCGGGCATAATGTCAACAGAATCAGCCCCTCGGGCCATAACATGGAACAACACCAGCCCCTCGGGCTATATCTCATATCATAATGGGTACACGCGCTCACTAAGGGTGTACAGACTCCGAGAGGGGCCCCTTACGGCCCAAGCGCAATATCAAGCCATCTCGTGGCATAATCAAATAGGCTCTCGGCCTCATATCAAGCCACCTTGTGGCGTAGAACTCAGGCCCTCAACCTCATAATCATAATCAGTACAACATTGTTGCGGCGTGCAGCCGATCCCATAATAACCTTACAACACAGGCCCTCGGCCCTACTCAATCAGAAATCTCTAAAAGTCACTCGGGCACAGTAAAATATGATGCTTAGCCCAAAATATCATTTAAAGTGTTAAAACAGAGTAAACATAGCTGAGTTAGGAAAATAATATAATATAGCATGACTGAGTACAGATATAAAAATCAAAATAGTTAGGAAATAGCAGTAAAAATCCCCTAAGGATCCAAAACCGTTGGCACGAGGCCCAAATATGGCATTCAACCCAAAACATAATCATAGCAAACAGTTTCTAATCAAATACGCGGTAAAATAGTCATTCGGGATAGACTAAGTCACAATCCCCCAATGGTGCACGACCTCACGCTCATCATCTAGCATGTGTGTCACCTCAATATAGCATAACGATGTGAAATTCGGGGTTTCATACCCTCGGGACAACATTTACAATCATTACTCACCTCTATCCAATCCAAACTCTAGCCCGCGATGCCCTTGCCTCTCGAATCGGTCTCCGTATGCTGCAAATATAACCAAAATCAGTGCAAAACCATCAAAACATGCTCAGGGAACAAAACCCACTCGAAAGAAATTAAATTACAACACAAATTCTGAAATTGGCCAAACCCGACCCCCGGGCCCGCGTCTCGGATCTCGATAAAATTACATCAATAGACTCCTTATCACTCCCCGAGTTCATTCATATCAAAATCACCAAAATCCAACCACAAATGATCCTTCAAATCCCTAATTTTAGGTCTCCAATTGCAAGTCCTAGTTCTTCAATATTTAGGCTTAAATTCAACAATTTTCATGATTAATTAGGTAGAAATCACATTAGGATCGAGTATTAAGTCCATAAATCTTACTTCCAAGTGTTTCCCCTTAAATCCCTCTTCAATCCTGTGACGACCCGGCCGGTCGTCTTAAGAATTAATGCCCCGATCCCCTATTAACTGCTTTCCCCAAGTTTATTTATGCTAATGTGATTTGCCGGGATACTCGGTTTTGAGTTTTGAGGAGTTTTGGGACACTTAGTACCTAAATGAGAGCTTAAGTGTTAGAAAGTCGACCAAAGTCGGAACAGTGGGGAGACAGCCTCGGAATGGAAATCTGACGGTTCCGTTAGCTCCGTTAGGTGAATTTGGGGTTGGGAGCATGTTCGGAATGTGTTTTGGAGGTTCGTAGCTAATTTACGCTTGAAATGCCGAATTTTGAATTTTTGAAGTTTCCGGTCCGATAGTGAGATTTTGATCCGAGGGTCGGAATTGAATTCCGGAAGTTTCAGTAGCTCTGTTATGTCATTTGGGATGTGTGTGCAAAATTTTAGGTCATTTGGACGAGATTTGATACAGTTTTTGATCGAAAACATAATTTAAGGGTTCTTGGAGTTCTTAGGCTTGAATCCTATGTGAAATTGGTGATTTGATGTTGTTATAAGAGTTCCGAATTGTTGATCAAGTTTGAACGATGTCATGGGATGTGTTGGTATAATTGGTTTGAAGTTCCGGGAGTTCCGGGTAGGCTCCGGGATGTTATAGTGCAAAAATCATAGCTGTAGCAGGTCTACAGGGGTTGCAGGCCCCAGAACTCACTCACGCGATCCTCACAAAAATTAGTGCGCCTGCGTTGAGTGTTATGCGGACCGCACAAAAGTGGCCGCGGCCGCAATAGGCGTCACGCGGACCACACAAAGTGGGGCGCGGCCGCGGTGAAGGGCTCTCCCGCTGGTCCTACTTCGGAAGCTCATATCTTTTTATCTACAAAGAGTTTTGAGGTGATTCAAAACGAAAGTTGTAGCTCTTCGTGTCTAGTTTCCAGAAAAGTAAAGATATTGCAATGTGGACATCTGTAGCAAAAGTTATGGCCAAAATACTAAAGCCTGTCACTGCAGAGGGAGGCATGTGCGGCCGCACGTTGCCTTTGCGCGGACCGCACTGACTTGCGCGGACCGCGTGAGGTTTGGTGCGGCCCGCAGTAGCTGGAAACCTGAGGGGTACCTATAAATACGAGGTTTTGGGTTTTATTTAATATTTTGACCTAGAGAGCTCGGATTTTGGCGATTTTTCGAAGGTTTTTCAAGAAATTCATCGGGGTAAGTGATTTTAACTCAGATTTGGCTAGAATACATGAATCTAACACTGAATTCATCATTTAATTCGTGATTTGAGAGGGAATTTGGGAAGAAAATTGTGAAACCTTTCAAAAATGTAAAATGATGATTTAAAGGACCAAATAGTGTCGGAATTATATAATTTTCATATGGTTAGACTCGTGATAGTGCGAGGTTTTTGGGAATATAAATTTTTACCGATTCCGAGATGTGGGCCCGAGGGGCATTTTGGTCATTTTCCATAATTTAGCGTATTAGCTTTGAATTAAAACATAGGATCATTTGTTTGAGATGATATTTACGATATGCAATTGAATTGATTAGATTTGGGCCATTTGGAGTCGGATACTCGTGGCAAAATGGTGGTTTCTAGTTGATTTTGAACCGATTCGAGGTAAGTGGCTTGTCTAACCTTGTGTGGGGGACCTTTCCCCTTAGGATGTACTATATTTGATAATTGAAATGCCCTGTACGTGAGATGACGAGC